ATAACAACACCTCACTCTCACAAGAAACAACACCTCACACACACAAGTACAACACCTCACTCTACACAAGTAACAACACCTCCACCACAAGATAACAACACCTCACTCACCAAGTAACACTCACCTACAAGGATACAACACCTCACTCACACAAGATAACAACACCTCACTCACAGGTGAAAACACCTCACTCACAAGGTAACAACACCTCACACACACAAGATAACAACACCTCACTCACACAAGATAACAACACCTCACTCACACAAGATACAACACCTCACACACACAAGATAACAACACCTCACACACACAAGATAACAACACCTCACACACACAAGAAAACAACCCTCACACACACAAGATAACAACACCTCACTCCACAAGATAACACACTCACACACACAAGATAACAACACCTCACACACACAAGATAACACCTCACACACACAAGATAACAACACCTCACACACACAAGATAACAACCCTCACACACTACAAGATAACAACACCTCACACACACAAGATAACAACACCTCACTCTCACAAGATAACAACACCTCACCACAGATAACAACACCTCACACTCACAAGATAACAACACCTCACTCACACAAGATAACAACACCTCACTCACACAAGATAAACACCTCACTCACACAAGATAACAACACCTCACACACACAAGATAACAACACCTCACTCACACAAGATAACAACACCTCACTCACACAAGATAACAACACCTCACTCACACAAGATAACACCTCACACACACAAGATAACAACACCTCACACACACAAGATAAAACACCTCACACACACAAGATAACAACACCTCACACACACAAGATAACAACACCTCACACACACAAGATAACAACACCTCACACACACAAGATAACAACACCTCACTCTCACAAGATAACAACACCTCACACACACAAGATAACAACACCTCACTCTCACAAGATAACAACACCTCACACACACAAGATAACAACACCTCACTCACACAAGATAACAACACCTCACTCACACAAGATAACAACACCTCACACACACAAGATAACAACACCTCACTCTCACAAGATAACAACACCTCACTCACACAAGATAACAACACCTCACTCACACAAGATAAACACCTCACTCTCACAAGATAACACCTCACACACACAAGATAACAACACCTCACTCTCACAAGATAACAATACCTCACTCTCACAAGATAACAACACCTCACTCTAACAAGATAACAACACCTCACTCTCACAAGATAACAACACCTCACTCTCACAAGATAACAACACCTCACTCACACAAGATAACAACATCTCACTCTCACAAGATAACAACACCTCACTCTCACAAGATAACAACACCTCACTCTCACAAGATAACAACACCTCACTCTCACAAGATAACAACATCTCACTCCACAAGATAACAACACCTCACTCTCACAAGATAACAACACCTCACTCACACAAGATAACAACACCTCACTCTCACAAGATAACACCTCACTCTCACAAGATAACAACACCTCACTCACACAAGATAACACACCTCACTCACACAAGATAACAACACCTCACTCACACAAGATAACAACACCTCACACACTACAAGATAACAACACCTCACTCTCACAAGATAACAACACCTCACTCACACAAGAAACAACACCTCACTCACACAAGATAACAACACCTCACTCTCACAAGATAACAACACCTCACACACACAAGATAACAACACTCACTCTCACAAGATAACAACACCTCACTCACACAAGATAACAACCTCACTCTCACAAGATAACAACACCTCACTCTCACAAGATAACAACACCTCACTCTCACAAGATAACAACACCTCACTCCACAAGATAACAACATCTCACTCTCACAAGATAACAACACCTCACTCACACAAGATAACAACACCTCACTCTCACAAGATAACAACACCTCACTCTCACAAGATAACAACACCTCACTCACACAAGATAACAACACCTCACTCACACAAGATAACAACACCTCACTCTCACAATATAACAACACCTCACTCACACAAGATAACAACACCTCACTCTCACAAGGTGACAACACCTCACTCTCACAAGATAACAACACCTCACACACACAAGATAACAACACCTCACACACACAAGATAACAACACCTCACTCTCACAAGATAACAACACCTCACTCTCACAAGATAACACCTCACTCTCACAAGATAACACCTCACTCTCACAAGATAACAACACCTCACTCTCACAAGATAACACCTCACTCTCACAAGGTGACAACACCTCACTCACACAAGATAACAACACCTCACTCTCACAAGATAACAACACCTCACTCACACAAGATAACAACACCTCACTCACACAAGATAACAACACCTCACTCTCACAAGATAACAACACCTCACTCTCACAAGATAACAACACCTCACTCTCACAAGATAACAACACCTCACTCACACAAGATAACAACACCTCACTTACACACAGATAACAACACCTCACTCTCACAAATAACAACACCTCACTCTCACAAGATAACAACACCTCACTCTCACAAGATAACACCTCACTCACACAAAATAACAACACCTCACTCTCACAAGATAACAACACCTCACTCACACAAGAAAACAAACACCTCACTCACACAAGATAACAACACCTCACTCACACAAGATAACAACAACCTCACTCTCACAAGATAACAACACCTCACTCACACAAGAAAACAACACCTCACTCACACAAGATAACAACACCTCACTCACACAAGATAACAACACCTCACTCACACAAGATAACAACACCTCACTCACACAAGAAAACAACACTCACTCACACAAGATAACAACACCTCACTCACACAAGATAACAACACCTCACTCTCACAGATAACAACACCTCACTCACACAAGATAACAACACCTCACTCACACAAGATAAACAACACCTCACTCTCACAAGATAACACCTCACTCTCCACAAGTGACAACACCTCACTCTCACAAGATGACAACACCTCACTCACACAAGATAACAACACCTCACTCTCTCAAGATAACAACACCTCACACACACAAGATAACAACACCTCACTCACACAAGATAACAACACCTCACTCACACAAGATAACAACAACCTCACTCTCACAAGATAACAACACCTCACTCACACAAGATAACAACACCTCACTCACACAAGATAACAACACCTCACTCACACAAGATAACAACACCTCACTCACACAAGATAACAACACCTCACACACACAAGATAACAACACCTCACTCACACAAGATAACAACACCTCACTCACACAAGATAACAACACCTCACTCTCACAAGATAACAACACCTCACTCACACAAGATAACAACACCTCACACAAGATAACAACACCTCACTCACACAAGATAACAACACCTCACTCTCACAAGATAAACAACACCTCACTCACACAAGATAACAACACCTCACTCTCACAAGATAACAACACCTCACTCACACAAGATAACAACACCTCACTCTCTCAAGATAACAACACCTCACTCACACAAGATAACAACACCTCACTCACACAAGATAACAACACCTCACTCACACAAGATAACAACACCTCACTCTCTCAAGATAACAACACCTCACTCTCACAAGATAACAACACCTCACTCACACAAGATAACAACACCTCACTCACACAAGATAACAACACCTCACCTCTCAAGATAACAACACCTCACTCTCACAAGATAACAACAACCTCACTCACACAAGATAACAACACCTCACTCACACAAGATAACAACACCTCACTCTCTCAAGATAACACACCTCACTCTCACAAGATAACAACACCTCACTCACACAAGATAACAACACCTCACTCTCACAAGATAACAACACCTCACTCACACAAGATAACAACACCTCACTCTCTCAAGATAACAAACACCTCACTCACACAAGATAACAACACCTCACTCACACAAGATAACACCTCACTCTCACAAGATAACACCTCACTCTCACAAAGTGACAACACCTCACTCACACAAGATAACAACACCTCACACACACAAGATAACAACACCTCACTCACACAAGATAACAACACCTCACTCACACAAGATAACACCTCACTCTCACAAGATAACACCTCACAGTCACAAGGTAACACCTCACAGTCACAAGATAACACCTCACAGTCACAAGATAACACCTCACAGTCACAAGGTAACACCTCACAGTCACAAGGTAACACCTCACTCTCACAAGGTAACAACACCTCACAAATGCACCTCCTGAGTGAGGTGTCACCTTAATGTTTAACTCATAAACTAAGCAAATCTTGCCTCTTGTTCCCATACCTCTGAAGATGTGAGTGAAAGCGCAGGAAACCCCTTCAGGTTTATTGCCTTTTTTTCACTATTTTTTTTAATAACATTGTGTGAACGAACAGAGAGATGGGTGGAGGACTTGAACCATGGTCCTGGGAGTGGCAGGGGTTCTAATAGGGTAGATTAGGAAACAGTACTTGTGTACATGTCCGCCTCTGTGGCCCTGTAATAGTCGGTGCTGTGTACAAGTCTTCCCTGTTACAACTTCTAAGTATTTCTGTGTTATTGTTCCCTCCTCACTCTTCTGTGTTCTCTCTGGTACTGACTGGCTGGGTAAGCCTCGCTTTTGACTGAAACGGGATCAATTCTGTCTGCCTTTGACTGAAACGGGATCAATTCTGCCTTTGACTGAAACGGGATCAATTCTGCCTGCCTTTGAAACGGGATCAATTCTGCCTGTCTTTGAAACAGGATCAATGCTGCCTGCCTCTGACTGAAACAGGATTACTTCTGCCTGCCTTTGAGACGAGATCAATTCCGATTGCCTGCCATCACCCCCGGCTGCGTCTGACCCTTACTGATTCCGTAGGTCCCCGAGGAAACATCAACACTGACCTGGAGATGCGCGTCAGTGAGGGTAGGGACGCCACTCTCACAGAGAGCAGCCAGAGAGTCAAAGAGTACAGCTAGGCCGTCCAGATGAAGGAAATCTCGCACCCAGGTGGGGCGGTGCTCCCCTAGCTTCCTCCTGAGGGCGGCGTACAGCCGCGTCGAGGGACACCCAAGGGCGGCCACCAACTCCTCCGCTGAACTGGAAGACTTCTGCCAACTGAAGGAGGCGCGGCAGACGCGACCTGCGCCCTCTGACCCGCTGCTGTCTCCTGGAAGAGAGCAGAATGTGTGTGATGTTAGTCTGGCAGTACTCTAGGTTATGGGGCTAAAACAGCATTAGAAAAAAGGTTTTAGGAAGCTGACAAAACAGGGAACCGGTGGGGATTGAACCCATGGCAAGGGAGTCTTAAGACTTACAGGCCAGTGCGTTAACCACTGGGGAAGTTGCTTCTAATAAGACTGGGCAAATATTTCTGTAGTGGGCTCTGGTATGAGGAAGACTTGCCTAGTATGGGCCAGTAGGTCTCCTGCAGTGTTTCTATGTTCTTTCTTATTTACATACACTATAGAGAGGTTAGCATGGGCCACGACTGTGACCATAAATAATAGCTTGGTTATGTCCCGTAGCTCGACGGCTAGCGCACTCAACTCACACACTGAGGTCCGGGGATCGAACCCCGGTACGGTTGCAGACATTAGAACGTGTTTCCTTAAGACACCTGCTGTCCATGTTAGTGGACTGGTGTGGGTCACATCCTGGGTGTTAGTGGACTGGTGTGGGTCACATCCTGGGTGTTAGTGGACTGGTGTAGGTCACATCCTGGGTGCTAGTGGACTAGTGTGGGGCACATCCTGGGTGTTAGTGGACTGGTGTGGGTCACATCCTGGGTGTTAGTGGACTGGTGTGGGTCACATCCTGGGTGTTAGTGGACTGGTGTGGTTCACATCCTGGGTGTTAGTGGACTGGTGTGGGTCACATCCTGGGTGTTAGTGGACTGGTGTGGGTCACATCCTGGGTGTTAGTGGACTGGTGTGGGTCACATCCTGCGTGTTAGTGGACTGGTGTGGGTCACATCCTGGGTGTTAGTGGACTGGTGTGGGTCACATCCTGCGTGTTAGTAGACTGGTGTGGGTCACACCCTGGGTGTTAGTGGACTGGTGTGGGTCACATCCTGGGTGTTAGTGGACTGGTGTGGTCACATCCTGGGTGTTAGTGGACGGGGTGTGGGTCACATCCTGGGTGTTAGTGGACTGGTGTGGGTCACATCCTGGGTGTTAGTAGACTGGTGTGGGTCACATCCTGGGTGTTAGTGGACTGGTGTGGGACACATCCTGGGTGCTAGTGGATTGGTGTGGGTCACATCCTGGGAGTTAGTGGACTGGTGTGGGTCACATCCTGGGTGTTAGTAGACTGGTGTGGGTCACATCCCGGGTGTTAGCAGACTGGTGTGGGTCACATCCTGGGTGTTAGTGGATTGGTGTGGGACACATCCTGGGTGTTAGTGGACTGGTGTGGGTCACATCCTGGGTGCTAGTGGACTGGTGTGGGTCACATCCTGGGTGTTAGTGGACTGGTGTGGGTCACATCCTGGGTGTTAGTGGACTGGTGTGGGTCACATCCTGGGTGTTAGTGGACTGGTGTGGGTCACATCCTGGGTGTTAGTAGACTGGTGTGGGTCACATCCTGGGTGTTAGTGGACTGGTGTGGGACACATCCTGGGTGCTAGTGGATTGGTGTGGGTCACATCCTGGGTGTTAGTGGACTGGTGTGGGTCACATACTGGGTGTTAGTAGACTGGTGTGGGTCACATCCTGGGTGTTAGTGGACTGGTGTGGGAAACATCCTGGGTGTTAGTGGACTGGTGTGGGTCACATCCTGGGTGCTAGTGGACTGGTGTGGGTCACATCCTGGGTGTTAGTGGATTGGTGTGGGTCACATCCTTGGTGTTAGTGGACTGGTGTGCGTCACATTCTGTGTGTTAGTGGACTGGTGTGGGTCACATCCTGTGTGTTAGTGGACTGGTGTGGGTCACATCCTGGGTGTTAGTGGACTGGTGTGGGTCACATCCTGGGTGTTAGTGGACTGCTGTGGGTCACATCCTGGGTGTTAGTGGACTGGTGTGGGTCACATTCTGGGTGTTAGTGGACTGGTGTGGGTCACATCCTGGGTGTTAGTGGACTGGTGTGGGTCACATCCTGGGTTAGTGGACTGGTGTGGTCACATCCTGGGTGTTAGTGGACTGGTGTGGGTCACATCCTGGGAGTTAGTGGACTGGTGTGGGTCACATCCTGCGTGTTAGTGGACTGGTGTGGGTCACATCCTGGGTGTTAGTGGACTGGTGTGGTCACATCCTGCGTGTTAGTGGACTGGTGTGGGTCACATCCTGGGTGTTAGTGGACTGGTGTGGGTCACCATCCTGGGTGTTAGTGGACTGGTGTGGGCCCACATCCTGCGTGTTAGTGGACTGGTGTGGGCCCACATCCTGGTGTTAGTGGACTGGTGTGGGTCACATCCTGGGTGTTAGTGGACTGGTGTGGGTCACATCCTGCGTGTTAGTGGACTGGTGTGGGTCACATCCTGGGTGTTAGTGGACTGGTGTGGGTCACATCCTGGGTGTTAGTGGACTGGTGTGGGTCACATCCTGGTGTTAGTGGACTGGTGTGGGTCACATCCTGGGTGTTAGTAGACTGGTGTGGGTCACATCCTGGGTGTTAGTGGACTGGTGTGGGACACATCCTGGGTGCTAGTGGATTGGTGTGGGTCACATCCTGGGTGTTAGTGGACGGGTTTGTGGTCACATCCCGGGTGTTAGTAGACTGGTGTGGGTCACATCCCGGGTGTTAGTAGACTGGTGTGGGTCACATCCTGGGTGTTAGTGGACTGGTGTGGGACACATCCTGGGTGTTAGCGGACTGGTGTGGGTCACATCCTGGGTGCTAGTGGACTGGTGTGGGTCACATCCTGGGTGTTAGTGGACTGGTGTGGGTCACATCCTGGGTGTTAGTGGACTGGTGTGGGTCACATCCTGGGTGTTAGTGGACTGGTGTGGGTCACATCCTGGGTGTTAGTAGACTAGTGTGGGTCACATCCTGGGTGTTAGTGGACTGGTGTGGGACACATCCTGGGTGCTAGTGGATTGGTGTGGGTCACATCCTGGGTGTTAGTGGACTGGTGTGGGTCACATCCTGTGTGTTAGTAGACTGGTGTGGGTCACATCCCGGGTGTTAGTATTATTATTATTATTATAATCAAAAAGAAGCGCTAAGCCACAAGGGCTATACAGCGCTGCAGGGTAGGGAAGGAAGCAAGGGAATTGGATGGCAGGAGGGAGGGGGGATGATCAGCAGGTTACAGAAAACAGCGGGGCAGGGGATAGTACGGGGGTAGAGGGTAGCAAGAGATACAAGTAGAAAGGGCTGAAAGTATCAGAATTTGTGAAGTAAGTCAGTCGTTGTCAAAAAGTCAATAAGAGAGTCCGGATGAAAGGTGGGTCCATCAGCGAGAAGGGAAGGTAAAGAGAGAGCAGCGGGGCGAAGACGACGACAGAGGTAAATTCTGCGTGCTCGTTGATAAAGTGGGCAGTCCAACAGAATGTGGCTGACTGATAATGGAGCTTGGCAATTCTCACAGAGAGGAGCAAGACGCCTCTCCATGAGATATCCATGAGTAAGACGAGTATGGCCAATGCGAAGACGGGAGAGAGTAGTCTCCCAACCTCGACACTGGTGATAAGAAGACGGCCAGTAACCTATACTCGGTTTAATAGACTGAAGTTTGTTGCCGAGCATAGTAGACCAACGTTGTTGCCCCGGGTGTTAGTAGACTGGTGTGGGTCACATCCTGGGTGTTAGTGGACTGGTGTGGGACACATCCTGGGTGTTAGTGGACTGGTGTGGGTCACATCCTGGGTGCTAGTGGACTGGTGTGGGTCACATCCTGGGTGTTAGTGGATTGGTGTGGGTCACATCCTTGGTGTTAGTGGACTGGTGTGGGTCACATCCTGGGTGTTAGTGGACTGGTGTGCGTCACATTCTGGGTGTTAGTGGACTGGTGTGGGTCACATCCTGTGTGTTAGTGGACTGGTGTGGGTCACATCCTGGGTGTTAGTGGACTGGTGTGGGTCACATCCTGGGTGTTAGTGGACTGGTGTGGGTCACATCCTGGGTGTTAGTGGACTGGTGTGGGTCACATTCTGGTGTTAAATGGACTGGTGTGGGTCACATCCTGTGTGTTAGTGGACTGTTGTGGGTCACATTCTGGGTGTTAGTGGACTGGTGTGGGTCACATCCTGGGTGTTAGTAGACTGGTGTGGGTCACATCCCGGGTGTTAGTAGACTGGTGTGGGTCACATCCTGGGTGTTAGTGGACTGGTGTGGGAAACATCCTGGGTGTTAGTGGACTGGTGTGGGTCACATCCTGGGTGCTAGTGGACTGGTGTGGGTCACATCCTGGGTGTTAGTGGATTGGTGTGGGTCACATCCTTGGTGTTAGTGGACTGGTGTGCGTCACATTCTGGGTGTTAGTGGACTGGTGTGGGTCACATCCTGTGTGTTAGTGGACTGGTGTGGGTCACATCCTGGGTGTTAGTGGACTTGTGTGGGTCACATCCTGCGTGTTAGTGGACTGCTGTGGGTCACATCCTGGGTGTTAGTGGACTGGTGTGGGTCACATCCTGCGTGTTAGTGGACTGGTGTGGGTCACATCCTGGGTGTTAGTGGACTGGTGTGGGTCACATCCTGGGTGTTAGTGGACTGGTGTGGGTCACATCCTGCGTGTTAGTGGACTGGTGTGGGTCACATCCTGGGTGTTAGTGGACTGGTGTGGGTCACATCCTGCGTGTTAGTAGACTGGTGTGGGTCACACCCTGGGTGTTAGTGGACTGGTGTGGGTCACATCCTGGGTGTTAGTGGACTGGTGTGGGTCACATCCTGGGTGTTAGTGGACTGGTGTGGGTCACATCCTGGGTGTTAGTGGACTGGTGTGGGTCACATCCTGGGTGTTAGTAGACTGGGGTGGGTCACATCCTGGGTGTTAGTGGACTGGTGTGGGACACATCCTGGGTGCTAGTGGATTGGTGTGGGTCACATCCTGGGTGTTAGTGGACTGGTGTGGGTCACATCCTGGGTGTTAGTAGACTGGTGTGGGTCACATCCCGGGTGTTAGTGGACTGGTGTGGGTCACATCCTGGGTGTTAGTGGACTGGTGTGGGACACATCCTGGGTGTTAGTGGACTGGTGTGGGTCACATCCTGGGTGCTAGTGGACTGGT